CTAGTTTATTATGTAACCACTTACCCTTCTTTTACTACAAAATTTATCATTATCTCAATTGTTTCATTTTTACATCCACCATAGACCCTTTAGGTACTTTCTCTCTAATCACAACCTCATTTGAATTATTTTTCTTAGTGCATTTTCGTTCAAACAAATGTATTGCATTTTATGAAATTAAATTTTTTTTAAGGTACACAATTTATCATCTTTACTCCTTTTTATATTTTTATTTGTTATTTATTGTTTGTTACATGAGAATGTCTAATTATCAATTTTGAGAGTTCAATTATGTAAACTCGATAGTTTATTAGGTAACCTAACAAACTTATCTTGTCTTTTCTCTTTGGTTTTTAATTTTGTATCATTTAAAGAACTTTTCTTATGCTGCACAATTTTTTAGCCTCTCAACAATTCAACTAGTTCACTATTACCAAGTTTACTCAAATCTCCAATGTACTTTCCCTCTTAACATTTGAAAAAATAATAAATGTTGTGGTTGTCTTTAAATTTCAATTATGTGTAATTGTTTAATCCTTTATCATTACTTGACATTTATGCAATTGTTATGTGATACTTTATTTTAATATTTATATAATTATAATATTTTTTTCTTGAAATTTGAAATTGAAGAAAAAAATGTGTCATTTTGATAATCCTTGTAATATATGTTTTCTTTGTTGTGTTTTCTTTTTGTAAGAAAATTATTTATGTAATATTTGGAATAGTAAGGGAGCGATTGTAAGACACTTGGTATACTTGTTATCTGATGGGGATAGGGATGAAATTCAAATTTCATACCTAGACGAGGACGGGACAGGTATGAAATTTTACTTAGAAGTAAGTATGGTCAAACTGGTACTTGCCCGTTCCATCCCTGGTTTGGACTTTCTGCACATGGTGCATATCTTGAGTTGTCTGCACATTGTATTTTCTGATTTGTAAATACTAAATCACAAGGAGTGGGATACTAGTAAGTAATTTGAGTTGTTTGCAGGATATCTTGAGTTAAAATGCTCATGTTGTTAGGTACATATTAAAAATGCTAAAAGGGAGTTTGAGGGAACAATAGGAGAATTGCTTGCTCAAACTTATAATCTTACTGTACAGGTTCTTCTGCTGGCTGGGGACGGATTGATGATGCTGGTGTTGTCAAGGTATGAATAACTAATTTCAGTTCGTAGAACCTCTAGAGTTTCAGATTTTAGTTTTTTCTGATATCACAAAGTTCAATTAGAATGTAATGAACTCGCTGAAATAGCAATTTAGGGTAATTTAGGGTCTGCCATCTTCGGGCTTGACACAAAATCCACCAATTTGGGGCTGAAATTTAACTTGTTATTAGAAAATAGGTATGGCAAGGATGAGCTCTAGATAACTTGGTCCTTTAGGCTCTCAAACGTTACGAGTAAATTAAGCCCAGCTCAACTTCAAAATTTAGCTCAAGGATTGCCCAAGTCTTATTTTTTTTAGGAGTATTTTGACCATATTCCCAACTGATGTGGGCATCTTGATACTATGTCATGATCTAAATATTATTAGCTGGCAAATCAAGTATGATGTTTTACAGGTCTATTTCTACTGTATTGTTGATTTGGGATTTTTTGTAATATTGCTTCTTCATTAGGTAAAGGCACCCAGATGTTTTATGTATAACGTGCCCCCTCATACAAGATCTCATTCAACTTTTATTTTTCTATAACAAATTCAATTCTAGTTTTGCTTGTGTCTTTGTGTTTTTTCCATGGTGTATATCTGGTGGTTTTGAAAAAACATTTTTGAATGACAATAGATTTTAAACATATATGTAAGGAGGAAATCTTTCAATAATATCTCTCACTGTGCTTCCTTGGCCACACGTAAAGTAGGAACTTCTTTGGGTTTGAGCTTTACATATTTTCCAATCTAAAGCATTCCTGTGTATATGGTTGCTTGGTGACCACTTAGTTGGGCAACTCTCATTCTGTAATAAACCATTTTATCTGTTACCGTAATCTTTTGAAAAAATAAATCTTCTAAAATAAATAATAAATCCTTTTATCTTTTGTTTAAAATATCTATTTATCCTCGTTTGTTTATTTTCCTAATTATTATAATTTCTAGGACCTCACAAGTTGGGTTATCCAGTTATTTAGGCTCAGGTCTAGTTTGTAGCCCATGTTATTCCTCTGTATAAATAACTGAGAAATTCATTTTTATAAAATTGCATTTTCCTTTTTCTCAATTTCCTTGAATTCTTTTGTTACTGGATGATGAAAGATAGTGTTCCTTGTACTAGCTCTCTATTTTCCATGTAGCAGGCCTATCTATAGGAATGTGAAGCTATAGTTATCACCAAACATTAAACTGTACTAGGTTTAAGTTTCTGGTAGACAGATATCATGGTACTCTATGATAGTGTGTGAATTTGTTGGCACCTTTTTCCTCTCCTTTGCCTTTTTAACCTCCTTTCACCAATCATCAGCAGTGACAACTTCACTGTCATCAGTTATAATTTTGATCTCTTGCTCCAAACATTAAAATTCTGAAATTTCGAGATGATTTTGACTAGAAAATAAAAACAATTGAATAAACTCTTCTCCTTATCTTAAAAGACTGGAATCCTCTTTACATACAATCTACATTTGTTTAACAATGGCTGGAATAACCTGGGAGGCTTACCAACTTTTGCACAGGTTTACGAGATGCTAACTGGTGTAAGAGTTGAAGGAAAACTTCAGACACAAAGGAAAGACACTATGTTACGTTCTCTTCCACCAGAGTGGCCCCAAGATCATGTTCTTGATGTACAAACACTAAAAGAAAGCAATTCAAAGATTTTAGTTGTATTAGATGATGATCCGACAGGAACACAAACTGTTCATGATATTGAGGTATTAACAGAATGGTAAGTTTATTTCATTTTCTTAGCTATTTCTATTGTCTTGGCAGAATCAATGCGAAAGGTATCTCATACCATGCTACCTCAAACCAAACCACCAAACCACTGATTTTTCTTTCATATTGTGCCATTTTTAATCATTTATACAATTAATAATAATTTGTCATCATGAGATTGGGATTGAAAGCTAGATCTTCCTGAATAAAATCGCAAGTTGTTACTCAATTGGACATGTTTCACTGCAGGACTACTGAGTCACTGATTGAGCAGTTTGGGAAAAGTCCAAAATGCTTTTTCATTTTGACAAACTCCAGGTCACTTAGTTCCGACAAGGTAAACAGGAAAAATACTTTTAATTTTTTCTCTCTTCTGTAAGGATTCTACTAATAACCATGGGTGAAATATTGAACAACAGGAAAAATACTTTTATTTTTTTCTCTCTTCTGTAAGGATTCTACTAATAACCATGGGTGAAATATTGAACAACTCTATTCAAGTGTAAATAGGCAACAAGTGTACGAGAGATATTCTGTGTTAGGCCACCAGAACAATTTGTATCTAAATTGCTTTAGTGATACTATTTGTATTTGGCCACCACAACTGAATCAACCAAGCTCCACCACTTGTCATATTGTTGCCCAGGAAATGGAAAAGCTTGTCGTTGAAGTACAAAGAAAGAGTGTCATCACTGAAATGCAATATTTGAGCTGAATAAAGTTTTGAACTGAAATACATACGACACCTTAATTTTAAGCACCAGCCATAAATTAAAACAATCTGAAGCATGGGCCTTGTGTCCCAACCAGAGTTCAAGCTACTTGATAATTCAACATTCATCTATATCAAGTTTATAAGTTTACGATTGATCTGTGACAGGCCAGTGCACTGATAAAAGAGATTTGCAGAAATCTGGACACTGCAGCGAAATCATTTGACAGCATTGACTATTCCGTAGTTTTGAGGGGAGATTCAACTTTACGAGGTCATTTTCCAGAGGCAAGGGTTTTAGCCCAATAAGCATATTTCAATAAACAATATCTATACTCTTCAATTTTCTAAATCATACTAGGTTGTTGTGTACAGGAAGCAGATGCGGTTGTTTCAGTATTGGGTGAAATGGATGCATGGATAATTTGTCCCTTTTTCCTTCAAGGGGGTCGTTATACTATTGCAGACACACACTATGTTGATGATTCTGATATGTAAGTCTTGCCATTCATGATCTAGCTATAACGAATTATGAATGGATACAAAATTAGAGTCCTGAGTTTTAACTTATTTCACTGCAGACTTGTTCCTGCAGGGGACACAGAGTTTGCCAAAGATGCTTCCTTTGGCTACAAATCTTCAAACCTGCGTGATGTAAAGCTTCTAATCCCTTTATTGACTCGGTCAATGCAATTTATATTTTGCTTGATTTGGATAAATTTAAATTTTGAGTTGCTTTTTATCCGATTATAGTGGGTAGAGGAGAAGACAAATGGTCGAATACTTGCTAGTAGTGTTGCATCTGTTTCTATCCAACTTTTGAGGAAAGGAGGACCAAATGCAGTTTGTCAGCATCTGTGCAGTTTGCAGAAGGTATACAGAATAAGGGATATAGTTCATGCATAGTAGTTTGTACACTTTCAACTTCTTAGAAGAGAACGTGTGGCCTACTTTGTCCAGTAAGAAATTACAAATACGAAGGTATATTCAGTCCACTTACTATGACTGTCTATTGTATTAAGCAGGGGACAATATGCATAGTTAATGCAGCTAGTGAACGAGACATGACTGTATTTGCACTTGGAATGATCAAGGCAAACCTTCCTTCTTTTCTTCCATGCCTTTTTGTCTTATTTTTTGTGTTTTATTACTGATCCAAATATTGTTGGACTATTTTTTCTTATTAACAGGCAGAATTGACAGGAAAACGTTTCTTGTGTCGCACTGCTGCTAGTTTTGTCTCTGCCCTTATGGGAATCATCTCTAAGCCTCCAATATTGCCAAGTGATCTAGGAATAGCTAATGAAAAGAATGGTGGTCTGATAGTTGTGGGGTCCTATGTTCCAAAAACAACAAAGCAGGTGATCAATGAGATTAAGATCCAAATCTAATCTAAAGCATATCCAATTTCTCATTTATGCTTATGCTTGCAAGTTGTAATCCACAGGTTGAAGAACTCAAACTACAGTGTGGTCAGTTCTTAAAAAGCATTGAGGTACTAAAATTCTAAGTCTATACCTCATTTTTCATTGTTAATTCTCTCATGGAGAGAATGGTGATGAATGTTTGTTTAGCAAAGGCATTTCATTCTTATGCATAACGCAATTTCTTTTTTGAAATTTCATTTGCCAATCTAATGACAAGGGTTTCTTTGTACTAGGTATCAGTTGAAAAACTTGCAATGAGCCCTATTGAGGTGAGGGAGGAGGAAATCAGTAGAACAGCTGAATTAGCAGACGTATATCTTAAAGCTCATAAAGACACTTTAATAATGACCAGCCGAAATCTCATAACTGGAAGAAGTTTGTCTTTCTTCTTTTGCTTGTTTTTTCTTCTTCCCATCTCTTCATTAGTGTTGTAATATTGGGAACTGTTTGCTTTGAAGATCCATCTCTGAGATAGCTTACTTATGCTTTCTTTTTACCTACCATTCAAAGCAAAGTGTAGTGTATTAAGTTGGAGAAATACAAGTTATGCCCCTCAATCTAATCTGTTTTCTTCAAATGTGCAGCTGCAGCTGAGAGTTTGGACATTAACTATAAAGTGAGTTCTGCTTTGGTGGAAATAGTGAAAAGAGTAACTACAAAACCTCGCTATATAATTGCAAAGGTACTCCATATTTTAAGGACACAGTGAACGCTCATTTTGATTTGGAAAACATGACATTTCCTTTGGGCTGATCAATATTGCTTATATTGCCAACATGTTTTTGGGCTGATCATCCAGGCACACTTTGTATTATGATCATGTTATTAGCTATGATTTATCACGAAGTTAATTGACATGAGAAATGTATTGTTAAGGTATTGTTCATTAAAACATTTTAGAGGTACAGAAGTACAAGTGGTCACTTAGGTTTCATGCTCAAGAAAGCAAGAAATAGGTTCAAAAACATTTTTTTTGTTTAATTTACTACAACAGATTTTGAGGTAATATTTTAAAAAAACTTCATTGCAATTATCTTTACTGTTTCACAAGTAAAATAATAAAATTCCGTGCTCGTTTGGTGTTTAATTATAATCATACCTGACAAACGTAGCACCTTCAGGGTGGTATTACGTCTTCAGACCTCGCTACGAAAGCCCTTGGTGCAAGATGTGCGAAGATAGTTGGACAAGCACTTGCTGGTATTCCCTTGTGGCTATTAGGCCCTGAAAGTAGACATCCTGGAATTCCTTACATTGTCTTCCCTGGTAAATTTTGTAATTTAACTCTTTTTCTCTTCTTAATTACAGTTTCGGACTAAATCTTAGTATCTGGTGCAGTAAAATATATATTCCTATATTTTTTGATATATTTCATCTTATCAAAAGATAATTCGCTTCTGGTAGGTAATGTTGGTAACAGCACAGCATTGGCAGAAGTTGTGAAGTCATGGACTTACCCAATCATTTTTACATCAACGAAAGAAATTCTTAATGTAAGGATAATTTTGTTCATGGCTTTACAAATTTGAACTGATTCTCTTTTAATATTGTTTAGTTTTTGGTATAAAGAATGCAGAAAAGGGTGGTTATGCTGTTGGAGCATTTAATGTCTACAATTTGGAAGGAGTTGAAGCTGTTGTTTCTGCTGCAGAGGAAGAACAGAGTCCTGCTATATTACAGGTCTGGAACAATTAGTTCAAAATCAAAATATTGATTTGTTTGAATCCCTTTTCTTTATTGTGAACATACATAATATGATAGCATAAAAACGAGGGGGGAAAAAGTAGTACTTGTCAGAATATGTGAATTTATTACACAATTAATATAGCAATTATGTGTAATCCTGCAATTATGTGTAATCCCTAAAATTAAGGAATTAGGATTAGTAATTATTGGGCAGATTTCCTTTTATTAAGATCAGGTATTATTGGGTAGATATCTCCTGATTTAGAGTTTATTTCAGGTGATTTTTTACCTTAATTAGACAATAGTTTGTTTCTTTTTAAACACCTATGTATTGTTTCAAAAGTATGAATGAGAGAATAATTAATTCCAGCATCCTACTACTGTTTTTGCAACAGTACTGAGATAGAAAAGCTAAATATCAAGAGTTCCAACTTCTAACCCTGTTGATGAGATTGGTGTAAAATCATAATCTTAGAATACTCCTCTAACTAGGGTTTCATACGCTCTAAAGGAAAAGGAAATTTTTAGTATTCTATAATGAGGAGGGATAAATTATTCCAACTTTAAAAGAACCACACCCTTCATTTTCTTGTACTCAACAGTAATAGACGAGTTACCCGTTAAAACTATTAGATTACATGAAAATGAAAAATGAAAATGGAGTGTAACTCTTTTTAAAGTTACTATTGAAGTAACTTGATCTCTTCTCTTTATGATTGCTCAAAAAGATTTGAACAAGGCACCTTAAGGGTATTTGTAATAAAATCCCTTATAAATCCTAATTAAATACAAAATCCTAGATACATTCTAATTCAAGATTAAAAAAAAAAGAAGCTATGCAATCAAATATTATTTCCCTAAATTATGAAATCCTATTTGTATCAAATTAAATTAGAAATCTGAACATGATAATTTTTCTTCTAAGAAGGTTTACCGTATAAAGTCAACGTAACGAACAGTTTCTTGAATAAGAGAAAATGTGAATTTTACTCCTTAAACATGCTTCTTCGTTTTGCACCAAAGAACCTACCAGTATGACAAACCTAGCTGCTAGTGTTTGTTGTGGGATCTGGGTCTAGAGGGATTGCTTCTGTTCTATTTTCCTTACAATTTATCTTCTGCTTGCTGAGCACTAGCGACCGAAAGGCTCTTCAAATAAAGATAGTGAAAGACATCTCTGTAATGTTGCTGGGAAATCACATGATATGCTGTTTTAAGCATTATGTTTTTTCACAACTTTCGCTTGAATCTCTGGCCAATGCTTAGATTCTACACAGATAGTGTTTTTTAGAGTATCTTTTCTCTTTATGTTGGCTGTTTTTCTTATTTTTCTATCGTGATGTCTTTTTATCCTATAAATTTACACGATTACAAAAAAATTGAAAGAACACTTCTTTATCCTTGTGGAATTCATTTTGTCAGCCTTTCATTGTATAACACGTCCAATCTCCAAGATCCCACCAGTTTGAGAAAATAGTGGAAACCTAAACAAAATTCCTTTATTCATATTTTCTTATTTCATTAAGAGTTTTGGATTATTTGTGGAGTAACGATGCTTCATTGTGTTCTTGATTAATTGTTTCATATTAATTCCCTGCATATGTGCATCATATTAAATGAATGACCTTTTGAATCACCCACAATTCTATTATATTGTATAAAAAAATTGCTTCCTCTAAAATTCTTCTGAACTATCTTTACAATTTTCAGATCCATCCAGGGGCCTTGAAGCAAGGAGGAATTCCCTTGGTTGCTTGTTGCATTTCTGCTGCAAAGCAAGCGAGTGTAAGTGGCCTTATTTTATTTGAATGTAATGGAGGTCTACAGAAAACAAACGTTATGGTTAATCTAAGAAGCTTGGAACAAGATTTCGATAAGAAAGTTAAGCTAGAAAATGAAATAAACGAATTTTGATGTCGAAAACTTTAAAATTTGAATATGTATAGTTTGTGACTGTGCTTACTATGTTGAGGATTAATCAAAAGAAACCAGTATCAATTAATAAAGTAATGAGGGTGTTGTTTTGGAGCAAACCCTTGCTATTATAATTACATTTATTACGTGTTTTAGGTAAAAGGAAAAAAGTCGTTTTTAAAGGATTTTTTAGTGACCCCGAGAGTAGAATGTATTCCCCTGTCTATTTTATTGTTTTTTTAAGGTGTGAACAGACACCACTTAAACATGTTCCTATGTCTTACTAAGTATCCGATAAAGTTACAAACTCAACATGTGTGGGTGGGGAGAACGCAGAGACCTGTATTTAGGTTTAGTAACCAACTAACCATTAGTTTAAGTGTCTTTAAATTTCACTGTTATTCATGTTCAAATATGACAGGTTCCAATTACTGTTCACTTTGATCATGGAACTTCAAAGCAGGATCTTGTGGAAGCTCTTGATCTGGTAGTGTGAACTTTTACTTGCTTTGCATGACAATCTTACTTACAGAACCATTTCAATCTCAAAGATTATCCAGCATCTATTTGTGGTTAGTTATTTCTCAGTTATCTCAACCGCTATGTGAATGTAATGATTCCAGGGATTCAGTTCCATTATGGTTGATGGTTCACATCTTTCTTTCAACGAAAATGCTGCATACACAAAATTTATAACATTACTGGCGCACTCAAAAAATATGCTGGTGGAAGCTGAGCTAGGAAGATTGTCAGGGACAGAAGATGATTTGACTGTAGAAGAGTTTGAAGCCAGACTAACCGATGTGAATATGGTTGCTACCTATCCTCTAGGCTACTCAAAATGTTCTCATGCTTTGCTTAATTCCTTTGCGCTTGTTGCATTAATTTCAGGCATCAAAATTCATAGATGAGACCGGAATAGATGCTTTGGCAGTGTGTATTGGTAATGTGCATGGGAAGTACCCTGCAAGTGGTCCAAATCTCAGACTTGATCTGCTCAAGGTGATAATACATTTCTGTTTTGTATTGTTTATGCTTTTATTGGTAAATTCTTCCCCAAAAAGAATTAAAGTGAAAAGTCCAGAACATTGCAGATCTCCCATGTGATGAATTTTAGTAAAATTGCAAAAACCAGACTTCTAAGCTGATACTTCCATGACCAAGACTGGGTGACCTATAACTATTTTGAGAATACGTCTTTTGCATGGTCTTTTCAATATTCTTCAGCAGTAGTTTCCGTAGTTAAGATAAAATTTACAGATATTTGAGGACAACCTTATGTGTTTCCACATCTGAATTGGATATTTCAGGGTGGGGAATGCGTCAAGTTTCCAAATGGATAATAATTTAATTTAACCCACACTTGAGGTTTTCATTTAAATTGTGTAATTTTGACATTGTACCATTTTCAGGAGCTGCATGCTTTGAGCCTGAAGAAAGGAGTTTATCTGGTGCTTCATGGTGCGTCTGGTTTGAGCAAAGAACTTGTTAAGGTACAGTTACATAAACAACAGATTTTGGAAGTTGTCTTTAAGTTTTGGTCCGTGAAAGTAAAACGTACATTTTATTAGGGTTGAGTTCACGGTACAGTTGTAACATGCATCTCAAAATTTCTAAGTTATCCTTTACGTATCCAATTTCTGGTCCCTAGATTGAAGTCTTGTAGTTTGCACTTTATATTGATAACATTATAAGAGCTTTACGATTTTTGACACAGGAGTGCATAAATCTTGGTGTTAGAAAGTTCAATGTGAACACCGAAGTAAGGAAAGCATACATGGACTCCCTGATTAACCCCAAGAACGATCTAGTTCATGTCATGGCTTCTGCTAAGGAAGCCATGAAAGCTGTGGTTGCAGAAAAGATGCATCTCTTTGGTTCAGCTGGAAAGGCGTAATTTCTTCAAATTTACTTGCTAGGACTATTGGTGACTCTCAACTTCATATTATTTTTCTATAATGTTGTCTTGTTTGTAGTAAGGAATCGTTGTATCATTTCATTCAGTTCAATAAATGCTTTCTAATTCTCTTATACCTACGCAACTTGTCTTTGAATGCTTAGGCTTATACTAATAACCGACGGTGATTATTTAAGTGATATTACTTTTAAATCAATTTAAACATATGCATTCTTCATCTATGGTATGTGTGGCAAAAAGGTCGAGAAAAACAATAAAATGTATGAAAAAAAAGGTCATTTTGTAAGATTTTTATTTTACAACCATTTTATACATTGTATTTCAAAATTAAATATTTGGTCGTATTATTTTTCTTACTGATGAAACTTTTTCATATTTCTTTCTAAACTTATATTTTTTTCAGGTTATAATTTTTCCCCATTTTACATTAATAGCATGACATTAATAATAATAATTCTTATGTTAACATTATACTTTTCGCTAACAAAATACTATATTAACATTATCTTTTAGGAACAAAACCCACAATAATATGATCTCTGTATCAAAAAATTAATTTTGTAACGGAGGGTGGACTGGACTTAAAATGAAATATTTAAAATTTTCAGGAATTATTAAAGAAAGTTAGAGACAAAAGATATAAATTAACTAACTTAAAGACTTAAATCTATAAAAAAAACATTTATCTCGTATATTTCAATTGATTTTAAATTCTAGTTTTAAGATAATTAAGATATTTTTAAAACGCATAGTAATTTAAATAATAATAATAACGATATTTGACTATCTACTATTATTACTATTAAAATTGAATAATCAATGAAATATAAATGCATATAACATTGAGTATCATTTTATTTGCTAAATTAATTGTTTTCATATATTTGTGTAATTTATTCAATTTGATACTATATTATTGAAAGGTTTATTTAAATTAAATCCTTTAATTTTTAAATCAAAATCAATTTAGAAGTTACAAACAAAACATCGTGAGATAACAAGAGACGAAATTATTAATAAAATTTAGATATTTATTTGGCCCTTTTAATTATATATAGACCATATTGATAAATTATATAAAAACATGAATCAAATTAAGCAAACTATAATTATTTTTTTAAACTGATTTGAACAACTTAAAATTTTAAATAATAAATAAAAAAACATTAAAAAGATTATCAATTAAGTTTATCTCGGGTGCATATGGTTGGTTTAATTGATTTATTTATGTATTTATTTAATTAAAAATGAAAAAAAATGCAAAAGAATAATCTTTGAAATAGTAGTATTAGAGATTTACTAAAATTTACGACTATTTTAGTCTCTCAAATTGTAGTTTATCAATCACACAAATTCAAAATAAATATTAGACTTAAATAGTATTAATGACATATATACTATAATCATATAAATAATAAAGTTAGAGATTCAGATAAAATAAGTAGAAATGTATCTTTTTTTTAAAAAAAAATTGTGAACTAATATAATAAAATATCACTCTTCAGCTATTTTCAAACATACTTACATTTAAAAATCATATATCATCTACGTTATATAATACGAATCTATATGGGGGGAAAATTGTAAAATCAAACGTAACAAAAAAACGTGCAGGTGCATAGCTTTCTTTTATTTTTAATATCTTTTAATTTTCGAAAGATGGCTATACATAAATATTGCATAAAATTTTTAATTAAGTCTCTTTTCCGAAATTGTATGATAACGCAGTGGTTTGTATCAGTTGACAAAGAAATCAAACTGATGTTAATTTAAATATTAAAAAATCAATTATAACTTTTACCGGTATAGATTAAAAAAATCATATAAATATAGAACCAAAAAAGTGATTTAACCATTTTTGAAAGTGAATATTAACAATCAATTTTAAACCGCTGTACATGAATATTGTTTCATGATAATATTTTGGGTTAAATATGTTTTTAGTCCCTAAACTATTGGCCGTTTCTGGTTTTCGTCCCTCTTCCAAAGTAAGGTACAATTTGGTCCTCATTCTTTAGAAAAACGTTCGTTTTAGTCCTCAAAATTTTGTTTTTAGTCCTCGTTTTAGTCCTCAAAACGTTCGTTTTTTCGACTAAAACGAACGTTTTTTAAAGATTGAGGACTAAATTGTACCTTACTTTGGAAGAGGGACGAAAACCAGAAACGGTCAATAGTTTAGGGACTAAAAACATATTTAACCCNGATGATTCTGATATGTAAGTCTTGCCATTCATGATCTAGCTATAACGAATTATGAATGGATACAAAATTAGAGTCCTGAGTTTTAACTTTTTTCACTGCAGACTTGTTCCTGCAGGGGACACAGAGTTTGCCAAAGATGCTTCCTTTGGCTACAAATCTTCAAACCTGCGTGATGTAAAGCTTCTAATCCCTTTATTGACTCGGTCAATGCAATTTATATTTTGCTTGATTTGGATAAATTTAAATTTTGAGTTGCTTTTTATCCGATTATAGTGGGTAGAGGAGAAGACAAATGGTCGAATACTTGCTAGTAGTGTTGCATCTGTTTCTATCCAACTTTTGAGGAAAGGAGGACCAAATGCAGTTTGTCAGCATCTGTGCAGTTTGCAGAAGGTATACAGAATAAGGGATATAGTTCATGCATAGTAGTTTGTACACTTTCAACTTCTTAGAAGAGAACGTGTGGCCTACTTTGTCCAGTAAGAAATTACAAATACGAAGGTATATTCAGTCCACTTACTATGACTGTCTATTGTATTAAGCAGGGGACAATATGCATAGTTAATGCAGCTAGTGAACGAGACATGACTGTATTTGCACTTGGAATGATCAAGGCAAACCTTCCTTCTTTTCTTCCATGCCTTTTTGTCTTATTTTTTGTGTTTTATTACTGATCCAAATATTGTTGGACTATTTTTTCTTATTAACAGGCAGAATTGACAGGAAAACGTTTCTTGTGTCGCACTGCTGCTAGTTTTGTCTCTGCCCTTATGGGAATCATCTCTAAGCCTCCAATATTGCCAAGTGATCTAGGAATAGCTAATGAAAAGAATGGTGGTCTGATAGTTGTGGGGTCCTATGTTCCAAAAACAACAAAGCAGGTGATCAATGAGATTAAGATCCAAATCTAATCTAAAGCATATCCAATTTCTCATTTATGCTTATGCTTGCAAGTTGTAATCCACAGGTTGAAGAACTCAAACTACAGTGTGGTCAGTTCTTAAAAAGCATTGAGGTACTAAAATTCTAAGTCTATACCTCATTTTTCATTGTTAATTCTCTCATGGAGAGAATGGTGATGAATGTTTGTTTAGCAAAGGCATTTCATTCTTATGCATAACGCAATTTCTTTTTTGAAATTTCATTTGCCAATCTAATGTCAAGGGTTTCTTTGTACTAGGTATCAGTTGAAAAACTTGCAATGAGCCCTATTGAGGTGAGGGAGGAGGAAATCAGTAGAACAGCTGAATTAGCAGACGTATATCTTAAAGCTCATAAAGACACTTTAATAATGACCAGCCGAAATCTCATAACTGGAAGAAGTTTGTCTTTCTTCTTTTGCTTGTTTTTTCTTCTTCCCATCTCTTCATTAGTGTTGTAATATTGGGAACTGTTTGCTTTGAAGATCCATCTCTGAGATAGCTTACTTCTGCTTTCTTTTTACCTACCATTCAAAGCAAAGTGTAGTGTATTAAGTTGGAGAAATACAAGTTATGCCCCTCAATCTAATCTGTTTTCTTCAAATGTGCAGCTGCAGCTGAGAGTTTGGACATTAACTATAAAGTGAGTTCTGCTTTGGTGGAAATAGTGAAAAGAGTAACTACAAAACCTCGCTATATAATTGCAAAGGTACTCCATATTTTAAGGACACAGTGAACGCTCATTTTGATTTGGAAAACATGACATTTCCTTTGGGCTGATCAATATTGCTTATATTGCCAACATGTTTTTGGGCTGATCATCCAGGCACACTTTGTATTATGATCATGTTATTAGCTATGATTTATCACGAAGTTAATTGACATGAGAAATGTATTGTTAAGGTATTGTTCATTAAAACATTTTAGAGGTACAGAAGTACAAGTGGTCACTTAGGTTTCATGCTCAAGAAAGCAAGAAATAGGTTCAAAAACATTTTTTTTGTTTAATTTACTACAACAGATTTTGAGGTAATATTTTAAAAAAACTTCATTGCAATTATCTTTACTGTTTCACAAGTAAAATAATAAAATTCCGTGCTCGTTTGGTGTTTAATTATAATCATACCTGACAAACGTAGCACCTTCAGGGTGGTATTACGTCTTCAGACCTCGCTACGAAAGCCCTTGGTGCAAGATGTGCGAAGATAGTTGGACAAGCACTTGCTGGTATTCCCTTGTGGCTATTAGGCCCTGAAAGTAGACATCCTGGAATTCCTTACATTGTCTTCCCTGGTAAATTTTGTAATTTAACTCTTTTTCTCTTCTTAATTACAGTTTCGGACTAAATCTTAGTATCTGGTGCAGTAAAATATATATTCCTATATTTTTTGATATATTTCATCTTATCAAAAGATAATTCGCTTCTGGTAGGTAATGTTGGTAACAGCACAGCATTGGCAGAAGTTGTGAAGTCATGGACTTACCCAATCATTTTTACATCAACGAAAGAAATTCTTAATGTAAGGATAATTTTGTTCATGGCTTTACAAATTTGAACTGATTCTCTTTTAATATTGTTTAGTTTTTGGTATAAAGAATGCAGAAAAGGGTGGTTATGCTGTTGGAGCATTTAATGTCTACAATTTGGAAGGAGTTGAAGCTGTTGTTTCTGCTGCAGAGGAAGAACAGAGTCCTGCTATATTACAGGTCTGGAACAATTAGTTCAAAATCAAAATATTGATTTGTTTGAATCCCTTTTCTTTATTGTGAACATACATAATATGATAGCATAAAAACGAGGGGGGAAAAAGTAGTACTTGTCAGAATATGTGAATTTATTACACAATTAATATAGCAATTATGTGTAATCCTGCAATTATGTGTAATCCCTAAAATTAAGGAATTAGGATTAGTAATTATTGGGCAGATTTCCTTTTATTAAGATCAGGTATTATTGGGTAGATATCTCCTGATTTAGAGTTTATTTCAGGTGATTTTTTACCTTAATTAGACAATAGTTTGTTTCTTTTTAAACACCTATGTATTGTTTCAAAAGTATGAATGAGAGAATAATTAATTCCAGCATCCTACTACTGTTTTTGCAACAGTACTGAGATAGAAAAGCTAAATATCAAGAGTTCCAACTTCTAACCCTGTTGATGAGATTGGTGTAAAATCATAATCTTAGAATACTCCTCTAACTAGGGTTTCATACGCTCTAAAGGAAAAGGAAATTTTTAGTATTCTATAATGAGGAGGGATAAATTATTCCAACTTTAAAAGAACCACACCCTTCATTTTCTTGTACTCAACAGTAATAGACGAGTTACCCGTTAAAACTATTAGATTACATGAAAATGAAAAATGAAAATGGAGTGTAACTCTTTTTAAAGTTACTATTGAAGTAACTTGATCTCTTCTCTTTATGATTGCTCAAAAAGATTTGAACAAGGCACCTTAAGGGTATTTGTAATAAAATCCCATATAAATCCTAATTAAATACAAAATCCTAGATACATTCTAATTCAAGATTAAAAAAAAAAGAAGCTATGCAATCAAATATTATTTCCCTAAATTATGAAATCCTATTTGTATCAAATTAAATTAGAAATCTGAACATGATAATTTTTCTTCTAAGAAGGTTTACCGTATAAAGTCAACGTAACGAACAGTTTCTTGAATAAGAGAAAATGTGAATTTTACTCCTTAAACATGCTTCTTCGTTTTGCACCAAAGAACCTACCAGTATGACAAACCTAGCTGCTAGTGTTTGTTGTGGGATCTGGGTCTAGAGGGATTGCTTCTGTTCTATTTTCCTTACAATTTATCTTCTGCTTGCTGAGCACTAGCGACCGAAAGGCTCTTCAAATAAAGATAGTGAAAGACATCTCTGTAATGTTGCTGGGAAATCACATGATATGCTGTTTTAAGCATTATGTTTTTTCACAACTTTCGCTTGAATCTCTGGCAAATGCTTAGATTCTACACAGATAGTGTTTTTTAGAGTATCTTTTCTCTTTATGTTGGCTGTTTTTCTTATTTTTCTATCGTGATGTCTTTTTATCCTATAAATTTACACGATTACAAAAAAATTGAAAGAACACTTCTTTATCCTTGTGGAATTCATTTTGTCAGCCTTTCATTGTATAACACGTCCAATCTCCAAGATCCCACCAGTTTGAGAAAATAGTGGAAACCTAAACAAAATTCCTTTATTCATATTTTCTTATTTCATTAAGAGTTTTGGATTATTTGTGGAGTAACGATGCTTCATTGTGTTCTTGATTAATTGTTTCATATTAATTCCCTGCATATGTGCATCATATTAAATGAATGACCTTTTGAATCACCCACAATTCTATTATATTGTATAAAAAAATTGCTTCCTCTAAAATTCTTCTGAACTATCTTTACAATTTTCAGATCCATCCAGGGGCCTTGAAGCAAGGAGGAATTCCCTTGGTTGCTTGTTGCATTTCTGCTGCAAAGCAAGCGAGTGTAAGTGGCCTTATTTTATTTGAATGTAATGGAGGTCTACAGAAAACAAACGTTAAGGTTAATCTAAGAAGCTTGGAACAAGATTTCGATAAGAAAGTTAAGCTAGAAAATGAAATAAACGAATTTTGATGTCGAAAACTTTAAAATTTGAATATGTATAGTTTGTGACTGTGCTTACTATGTTGAGGATTAATCAAAAGAAACCAGTATCAATTAATAAAGTAATGAGGGTGTTGTTTTGGAGCAAACCCTTGCTATTATAATTACATTTATTACGTGTTTTAGGTAAAAGGAAAAAAGTCGTTTTTAAAGGATTTTTTAGTGACCCCGAGAGTAGAATGTATTCCCCTGTCTATTTTATTGTTTTTTTAAGGTGTGAACAGACACCACTTAAACATGTTCCTATGTCTTACTAAGTATCCGATAAAGTTACAAACTCAACATGTGTGGGTGGGGAGAACGCAGAGACCTGTATTTAGGTTTAGTAACCAACTAACCATTAGTTTAAGTGTCTTTAAATTTCACTGTTATTCATGTTCAAATATGACAGGTTCCAATTACTGTTCACTTTGATCATGGAACTTCAAAGCAGGATCTTGTGGAAGCTCTTGATCTGGTAGTGTGAACTTTTACTTGCTTTGCATGACAATCTTACTTACAGAACCATTTCAATCTCAAAGATTATCCAGCATCTATTTGTGGTTAGTTATTTCTCAGTTATCTCAACCGCTATGTGAATGTAATGATTCCAGGGATTCAGTTCCATTATGGTTGATGGTTCACATCTTTCTTTCAACGAAAATGCTGCATACACAAAATTTATAACATTACTGGCGCACTCAAAAAATATGCTGGTGGAAGCTGAGCTAGGAAGATTGTCAGGGACAGAAGATGATTTGACTGTAGAAGAGTTTGAAGCCAGACTAACCGATGTGAATATGGTTGCTACCTATCCTCTAGGCTACTCAAAATGTTCTCATGCTTTGCTTAATTCCTTTGCGCTTGTTGCATTAATTTCAGGCATCAAAATTCATAGATGAGACCGGAATAGATGCTTTGGCAGTGTGTATTGGTAATGTGCATGGGAAGTACCCTGCAAGTGGTCCAAATCTCAGACTTGATCTGCTCAAGGTGATAATACATTTCTGTTTTGTATTGTTTATGCTTTTATTGGTAAATTCTTCCCCAAAAAGAATTAAAGTGAAAAGTCCAGAACATTGCAGATCTCCCATGTGATGAATTTTAGTAAAATTGCAAAAACCAGACTTCTAAGCTGATACTTCCATGACCAAGACTGGGTGACCTATAACTATTTTGAGAATACGTCTTTTGCATGGTCTTTTCAATATTCTTCAGCAGTAGTTTCCGTAGTTAAGATAAAATTTACAGATATTTGAGGACAACCTTATGTGTTTCCACATCTGAATTGGATATTTCAGGGTGGGGAATGCGTCAAGTTTCCAAATGGATAATAATTTAATTTAACCCACACTTGAGGTTTTCATTTAAATTGTGTAATTTTGACATTGTACCATTTTCAGGAGCTGCATGCTTTGAGCCTGAAGAAAGGAGTTTATCTGGTGCTTCATGGTGCGTCTGGTTTGAGCAAAGAACTTGTTAAGGTACAGTTACATAAACAACAGATTTTGGAAGTTGTCTTTAAGTTTTGGTCCGTGAAAGTAAAACGTACATTTTATTAGGGTTGAGTTCACGGTACAGTTGTAACATGCATCTCAAAATTTCTAAGTTATCCTTTACGTATCCAATTTCTGGTCCCTAGATTGAAGTCTTGTAGTTTGCACTTTATATTGATAACATTATAAGAGCTTTACGATTTTTGACACAGGAGTGCATAAATCTTGGTGTTAGAAAGTTCAATGTGAACACCGAAGTAAGGAAAGCATACATGGACTCCCTGATTAACCCCAAGAACGATCTAGTTCATGTCATGGCTTCTGCTAAGGAAGCCATGAAAGCTGTGGTTGCAGAAAAGATGCATCTCTTTGGTTCAGCTGGAAAGGCGTAATTTCTTCAAATTTACTTGCTAGGACTATTGGTGACTCTCAACTTCATATTATTTTTCTATAATGTTGTCTTGTTTGTAGTAAGGAATCGTTGTACCATTTCATTCAGTTCAATAAATGCTTTCTAATTCTCTTATACCTACGCAACTTGTCTTTGAATGCTTAGGCTTATACTAATAACCGACGGTGATTATTTAAGTGATATTACTTTTAAATCAATTTAAACATATGCATTCTTCATCTATGGTATGTGTGGCAAAAAGGTCGAGAAAAACAATAAAATGTATGAAAAAAAAGGTCATTTTGTAAGATTTTTATTTTACAACCATTTTATACATTGTATTTCAAAATTAAATATTTGGTCGTATTATTTTTCTTACTGATGAAACTTTTTCATATTTCTTTCTAAACTTATATTTTTTTCAGGTTATAATTTTTCCCCATTTTACATTAATAGCATGACATTAATAATAATAATTCTTATGTTAACATTATACTTTTCGCTAACAAAATACTATATTAACATTATCTTTTAGGAACAAAACCCACAATAATATGATCTCTGTATCAAAAAATTAATTTTGTAACGGAGGGTGGACTGGACTTAAAATGAAATATTTAAAATTTTCAGGAATTATTAAAGAAAGTTAGAGACAAAAGATATAAATTAACTAACTTAAAGACTTAAATCTATAAAAAAAACATTTATCTCGTATATTTCAATTGATTTTAAATTCTAGTTTTAAGATAATTAAGATATTTTTAAAACGCATAGTAATTTAAATAATAATAATAACGATATTTGACTATCTACTATTATTACTATTAAAATTGAATAATCAATGAAATATAAATGCATATAACATTGAGTATCATTTTATTTGCTAAATTAATTGTTTTCATATATTTGTGTAATTTATTCAATTTGATACTATATTATTGAAAGGTTTATTTAAATTAAATCCTTTAATTTTTAAATCAAAATCAATTTAGAAGTTACAAACAAAACATCGTGAGATAACAAGAGACGAAATTATTAATAAAATTTAGATATTTATTTGGCCCTTTTAATTATATATAGACCATATTGATAAATTATATAAAAACATGAATCAAATTAAGCAAACTATAATTATTTTTTTAAACTGATTTGAACAACTTAAAATTTTAAATAATAAATAAAAAAACATTAAAAAGATTATCAATTAAGTTTATCTCTGGTGCATATGGTTGGTTTAATTGATTTATTTATGTATTTATTTAATTAAAAATGAAAAAAAATGCAAAAGAATAATCTTTGAAATAGTAGTATTAGAGATTTACTAAAATTTACGACTATTTTAGTCTCTCAAATTGTAGTTTATCAATCACACAAATTCAAAATAAATATTAGACTTAAATAGTATTAATGACATATATACTATAATCATATAAATAATAAAGTTAGAGATTCAGATAAAATAAGTAGAAATGTATCTTTTTTTTAAAAAAAAATTGTGAACTAATATAATAAAATATCACTCTTCAGCTATTTTCAAACATACTTACATTTAAAAATCATATATCATCTACGTTATATAATACGAATCTATATGGGGGGAAAATTGTAAAATCAAACGTAACAAAAAAACGTGCAGGTGCATAGCTTTCTTTTATTTTTAATATCTTTTAATTTTCGAAAGATGGCTATACATAAATATTGCATAAAATTTTTAATTAAGTCTCTTTTCCGAAATTGTATGATAACGCAGTGGTTTGTATCAGTTGACAAAGAAATCAAACTGATGTTAATTTAAATATTAAAAAATCAATTATAACTTTTACCGGTATAGATTAAAAAAATCATATAAATATAGAACCAAAAAAGTGATTTAACCATTTTTGAAAGTGAATATTAACAATCAATTTTAAACCGCTGTACATGAATATTGTTTCATGATAATATTTTGGGTTAAATATGTTTTTAGTCCCTAAACTATTGGCCGTTTCTGGTTTTCGTCCCTCTTCCAAAGTAAGGTACAATTTGGTCCTCATTCTTTAGAAAAACGTTCGTTTTAGTCCTCAAAATTTTGTTTTTAGTCCTCGTTTTAGTCCTCAAAACGTTCGTTTTTTCGACTAAAACGAACGTTTTTTAAAGATTGAGGACTAAATTGTACCTTACTTTGGAAGAGGGACGAAAACCAGAAACGGTCAATAGTTTAGGGACTAAAAACATATTTAACCC